ACGGTGGTATTTGACTGGCATTTGTCAAACTACTGATTGTTATTCCCACAAAACCATAAATCACACAAGTGCTCTTTGTCCAGCTTACAGTTTACAGCTTTAATACGACATGAATATTTTAAAATGTTTAAAACGACAGCACTCCTTTAATTGAAAAATACATGTCAAACTAAACCAACACACTTTAAGAGTTCAAAGCTTTTGGAATCGGATGTTTGTTTTACTGAGGCCTTTTGTCATGCAATGCTGCCCTGAGTACGTGCACAGCTTCTCTGTAGCAGCGCATGTGTGTGAGCTCAATGCACCTTGAGACAGAAAGGTTCACAGTAGTAGAATAAAAATGGGAAAACAAAGACTGCACAGTGTCTGAGGACAGAGGGTGTGGAGATGGAAGATGTTCATATTACACCTGTATATGCACATGCAAGTGTACAACTACAGTTGTACATTTGGGAAATTAATCTAAAATGAATGGAAATTTCACGCAAGCCTATGAGACCCTCATGCTTAAAAAAACCACGAGTGGCTCCGGTTACAATTAAAGATGGCTCAGGATCAATCATTCAAAACTAGTTCTGTGCTTCAAATGTGTGATCTGGGGTCACTTCCATGGTAGAACTATGAAATGTACCCATCGATAAAAAGTAACCGATTGCAAAGCGGCTTAGGGGTCATACCACCGCCACTGGCAGTTCCATCTATTATACCATTGATAATGCTAATTCATCACGTAACTACAAGGATTCCAACCTTCCTAAAAATAATGAGAGAAAACAAGTCGTAATAAAAAATAGCTTTTTCAGCTCTGCAGAAAGTGAGTAAATGCAGCATAAGTGCTTCAGCAGCAGCAGCGCAGACCCCTTCTATCTGCGGACAGAGCCATGCTAACAGCCATGCTAACAGCCATGCTAACAGCTTCCATAAATAAATCCCACCTAACTGGAGTAAGACAAAGGAGGATGCTGCTCACCTCTCAGGCACGAAGCCTTGACGGAAAAAGCACGACATCCATTTGATCCTTGAGTTTAGACTGACGGACGGACATGATGTTTCCGGGTGTGACATCACTCCACACAAGGTGCGCACAATGGGAAGACTCGCCGTCGTGTGTTTGTGAAGAAAAATGTGCATTAATTAATATCATTGCATGTGACGAGTGGTGCTGTTTCTTTCACTATCTGAACCCACGACGTTCACCTCTCTGTGTTTGAAGTGCAAATTATTTGTGCACAAGCCTTTGCTTTGTAGCAGGACTTCTGGTTGTATATTCTACATTATTACCCCACATAAGAGGCAGACAGAGTCATTAAATCTGGCCTATCTTCTGCCTCTCTATTCCCTCCATTTCTGTGTTCAAACAGCAGAAAAACAACCAGCTTGGTAACTTGTCAAAGGGCGCCACTTAAGGCACTTTGTCTGCCTGAGAAGGGGTAGAGCGGGGAATTCCTCCGAGGAGACGCTTTCACAAGCCCAGAAGATGAAGCAGAGTACGTGTCTGCGCGATGTGCTCCGTCAGCATCCTGTCCACAACGCACAGGCAATTAGGACTGCAGCCAAAAGGCTGGCTGAGCTCTCTGTTTCTCTCTCCAGCACACACACACACACACACACACACACACGTTCAGGTATATGTTCATATCACACCTGCATATGCACCTGCTGCAGTACTGCAACCAAACAGCCTCTATCCTGAAGGAAAAGGAAACCAAAATCTCAAATTCGGTTGCCGCAGAACGGCCCCTTGCCATCCACCCTCTGCAGCCGGAGCCACGCTGTTTCTGATGCCAGTTGGCCATTTGACTACATTTCCATATTGAGCTTGCACTGCGCGCAGGCCGGGCCTGCAGGAAGGCCGGGGAGGTGAGGATTCACCAGTTTGAGGACATGATGCTGAACTCAATACCGCCTCCAAGCAAAGCCCTTCCTCAGCTCCAGTGGGAGACTTCATCCAGACACACAAATACAAAGAGAGAACCGCACGCACACACACACACACACACACACACACACACACACTGCGCCTCTGCCATGCGTCAGAAGTTCCAGGGCTACTTTGCATATGTGACCTGACACAACGAGGATTTACTGCGCGGCGTCTGAGGACACTGGGTGTGGAGATGGAAGGTGATCCTGCCACCTCATCTGGTCAGATGAATGAACCGCTCACACACACACACACACACACACACACACACCTCAATGATCTATTAGTGGTCGGCGTTAAGGGCGCTCTTATTCAAAACATAGGCAGTCATTTTCATCTCTATATTAAAGCGCTGATTTATCAGTATTGATGAATCCCCAATTTTTACCCATAAAGAAACTCTTGCCTATCTTCATATTTTGTCATATACACAGATTCTGTTTAATTAGTCCCGGCTAAGATAGACATTCACTTTTAAACCTTAAAGTACCTTAATTCAAACTGAATCTCTACAGACAAACGAACTCTTCTCGTGCTGTATGGCTCACTGTGCATTTTTTAAATAAATGATGGAAGTAACAATGTAACCTTTGTTGTCCGATCAGCAGCCCTCAAACAGCCTGGGCCGCTCGTCCTTGTGCATCTCTGCATCCAACGTTGTCCGCTGTAAGTCAAGCAGAAAGCGCCGCATCTGACACCAACCAACCCCACCTGTCGCTACTGATGGAGGTGCTGGGGACTGAGCAGGAGGACGTCTGTCCTACGCCCGACAGGACGTACGGAGGGACACCGGACAGAGACTAGTGGCTCTTTTAAAACGGTACCAACGTCCACGACCTCACACGGGGAATAGAACATATGGTTTTTCCATTCTTCTGAGCTGCACTGAGCCGCCCCGTATCTACAGCAGGTTTATGTGTACTACCTAAAAACAAAGTTTCTATACGAAGGAAGGCCATCGACTTTTGAGAAGCCCAGTCGTTATTCTGAACACATCGTTGATCACACATTTCTGAGACGAGCAGACAAAATGTGTTTGAAGGATATATCCAAGATATGGACCTGATAAAGAAGGTAACGCTTCAGAGCAGTCGAAAAAGTGAGGAGAAAAACATTGAAATGCAATGAAATGAGGAATCACTATTGATGTAAGTAGGTCTTCATTCACTGTTACTCATTAATGAGCTGAAGCATCACATGTATCCGTTCAGTAGCTGGCGGAGCTGGTGACCAAGTATCTGCGCAACGTGTAGCTCCTTCCAGCCTCTCACTTTCACCAACGAAGATTCAACCACGTACTCCGGTCGTAGTTAAGGAGGTTCCAGTAGCTACAAATGTCATTTTGACAAGTCATCAGATGGAGGAAGCAGCACAGCGAGTCAGTTTTCCTGTTCCCTTGTGTTTCGTCTAGAAAGCTTGAGCTCAGGGAAATGGTCAGAATAACCATAACCAAACACAAACACAATTTACTTGACAAATCGATGAATTGAAATAAAGAGACTTCTGGTGAGGGTTAACATCCTTATGAAATGAACTAAGGATGCTTCAAGGATAAAGTCCATTATGCTGGTCTGCGGCAGAGGTAAACTGATGGTTTGTACTGAATTTAGCCGTAATTTAACACGTTTGTTTTCAGTCTGAAGGCAATTCATCTCCTCTTCAAGGACGCAGCAACTTAAGGCATCAAAGTTAGAGTAAAGAAATGAAAATCAATTGATCAAAATACATTTTTTAGAAGGAAGGCGATGGCTCCCTCCTTAGCTCCAAGCGTTTGGAGCCCGAACTCGCTGCGAGGAACGAGGAGCGGCAGCATCGAGAGGACCGGGTGAAACGCCGTGCTCTCCATCGCTAGCGGCGGATGGCGCCGACACACCTAAAGGGGGGGACAGCGGGCTCACCGCCCCCCCCCCGTCGCCCCTCTGGCTGACATTGATGTTGACCTATAGATGCGTGCGTTCGGCCTTCTCATGCACAATCACCATCAACGGTACAAGCCCACGCACATTGCACACGCTGAAGCACAGTGGGGCGCTTTCACCAGCGCTCCAGTTGGGGTTGCTCATCAACAATGGCTGAAGGTGGCGAGAACCTTCGGACAAGGAAACACCGCTAGGAGTTTGAGGCTGATTTGTATTTGGTGCTTTTGGGTTACACAAAATAAAATGAATTGAAGGCGGTTCAGGGACCAGAGGGAGCAGCCGGCCCGTGGCTTTGCCGGCTGATGCTGCTGCCTTTGACTCGGTGACGGGGATCTTCCCCTCCCTCCCTCTGTGTTGCGGTGGCAGACGTGGCCGGCGAGCTGTGATTAAACTGAGCCTTCATCCCTCCCATCAGCTGGAGCGCTTCAGCAGCAGGCTGCCCCAGATCCAGAGGCCACCTCCCCCCCTCCCGTATGGTGCAGGGGCCGATTGCTCGGTGGAGCACTACTGACACCTTGTGATCGGCAACACGGAATACAGTCGGGAGGAGACAGGAGGGCCTTCTACTTAAACTGCATTTTGCGGAGGTAGCGTCGCCAGATGACAAAACACCACTTATTGGTAATAAGCCTCCAACTCAACGGGAAAATAATGCAACGTGTCGTTCAATTGATTCCCTTTGTATTCATGAGCGCTTTAATGTAAGTGTTCATATGAGTGGTTCAGCTGGAGGTGTCTGCTCAGGCCAGAGGGAGAGTGGAGCTAATCTAGTAGTGTCCCTCTGGAAGAAACGGGCGAGTGGGAGGCTGCACAGCACAGCAGAGCCAATGTGTCGCTCCCAAATGAGCTACGTTTTGTCTTATTAGAGGAGTGTCGCCAGAGTTCAGCAAACCTCTCAGGGGACTTTCTCCCTTCGTACGCTGGCGTATTAGAGAAGACTGGACGTGGGCTCTTTGTGTGCACGCGCGGCCAAATCCAAAGGACACTTGCATCATGCAAAGCTCGGATATATAACATATAGATCATTTCCATTTCTCTTACTTTGGAAATGGTCAGAGAAAAGGAAATTAGCTTGACTCGAGTAGCGCTTGTTGTTACAGCAAACAGCCGAATGCAGACGCTTCCCTTTGCTCATAAAAACGCGTCGTAACGCACAGTAAAAACACTCATCTGCTCTTTTAATGAATAAACAATTAAGTGCAGGGTCGACTCTTCAAATGATACAAGCAACATATTGAATCAGTTGTACAGGCATTGGCACAATGTCACATATTCTTCTTCTTGTTACCTTGATTGGGTAAGAGACCATAACGCATTAAAAAAAGGTAAAAGCAGAGCAAAAACAACAAGGTTCTTCTCACTGGAAGCCGCATGGAGACACCTGGCTTATGTTCATGACGCAACGTTCCCTCGCTTTACAATACTGTAGGCATCAAATACTTTGAAGATGTTTTTGCAATCTATAATGCTGACATTATACAGCACGGAAAAACACAAAGCATAGAAAGAAGCAGAATTTGCGCGTACGCTGAGGGTTGGAGATTAGAGTCTCCGTCCCGCTTTCTCAATGGACCGCTAAACATGAAACATGAAACATTGAACTGAGAGCAAGGACCAAGACAACGGGAGGCCGGGACATAAAAGGTGACGATTGGAGACAACAAGACAGGGAGGCACCACGGAGAACGCAGGAAACCTCAGATTGTTAACGTGTAACGTTTGCACTGCAGGACCTAACCGGCATTCGTAGCAGACCCAGAACAGGTTGAATAAAGACGGACTAAATGGAAGAATGAGGGACAGACTCCATAGCTGTGTAAGTTCAGCCCGACGCGGCCTTTAATACCACATTCTACAATAGTGAGACATGGTGCTGTAAAAATGACACCACAACATCGACGGTGCCTTTAAAATCAAGTGGACGAAGAGTTTTATCTTATTTTCACAATAGAATAGTTTCCTAAAAGTGTATTGAGCATAATCCGTCTGCATGAGTTGAGACATTTTTACTTTTACTAAATGATTCATTAGGATCTATGGGGCATTAAAATTCACGTGGAACCGGTGCGTCCCGAGAGGCCGGTCACAGCCGCCCCGGGTCGGGCTCACGGAGTAAGGCTTCGCTGCGATGACACCGGTGGTTTGGGAACGTTGTGTCACGTGACTGAGCTCCGCACTTCACAGTTCACCAGCGACCCGTCTCCTCGGCCTTCGGTTGTTTTTAGCAGCATTGATCTCCGTTCCAGAGAAAATGACACTCTGGACACCCTTGTAGCTCCTTTGTGACATTGTCCATAATATACACATACATACATATTTACAGAGAAGGTCGTCTCATAACACTAGAACACGTTAGTTGGCTTGTCTTTTGGTAGTATGCACTGAGGGTGTGGAACTGTACACACACCTGCAAAAGTGGTGAAAACGGGTGTTGGGGGGGGGTTTCAAAGATTGCTGTGTAATCCAAAAAGTGAGCGAATCTAGACCATCATCCACGTCGTGTTTTATAACCACGGCCTTTTCATTGTAGACCAAAAGTCTAAACTGATCTGATTCAGATCACAGATTGCGCCAAAACCCATACAGTAATAATAATAATAATAATAAAACTAATAATCATGTATCGGCCGTAACCCGATTTGGATTGAAATGGAGACGCTGTTGAGATCTCAACGCTGATTGGCCAAGACCGCACGCGTCACGTCAAAGAAGTCTTATTGCAAACATCACCTGGTCTCACTCCAACCTCAGAAAACGCTTGACCGACGCCCCTCGCCCCCCGAATGAAAACTGGATCTACACAATTCAGGCACATGACATTTTGATTTAAAATCTGTGATTTTTGTCGAAAAGCTACAAGTTTGCAGGTATGTGCGCACATGGCAAGAACGTGGACGGAGAGCGCGCAGAGCGGACACAAAGAGAAAGGTCAGCAGAGATGTCGTCGGTCGCTCTGGACGGGTGGGTGCTCTTACGAGTGCTTGATGGTGTATTTGCCTTTGAGCAGCTGGGAGATGAACAGCTTCGACTTGGTGCCGTCCAGGCGTTTGAACCACACCTCGTCGCTGTTGATGGTGGTGATGATCGCGCTGCGTGACACAAAAAAACACAACGGCGTTAGCATGATGCTATTTCGCCGTTCTCAAATCAACACGAGGTTACAGGTCACATGCGGTGCCTCGCGTGAGTACCCCCCCCCCC